GCATTTTAAAATAATCGCAAAAAAGTGGGGTCTCAAGCGGTTTGACGTCTATAGTAGTCGTTTGGATATGCAAAATAGTCTTGGAGCTTGGGTTTGTTTTTTCAATAGAAAAGCAATTTTTACGAAGTGTTTTTAACTATTGAAGGTTACTGTAGACAGCGAATCGTTAGAAGGCCGGTCAGGGTTACATTTTTATGCGTTAACGAAATTTGTCCGCTTCCGGACAAGTCAACTACCTTCCCATTACGATTCAGTCTTAGAGCAGCCTGACTTATTTCGACAATGAAGTACCTGTCATTTCTGATGTCGCTCCAACGGCCGCCGCTGTCCGTTCCAGTTCGGCCTGCACGACCTGCGCCAGACGTCTCAGCGTCTGGCCGAGGTGCCGTTCCGCTCCGAGACCAAGGTCATGATGGTGAAGGCTACCAAGCCGGGCGAGTCCACCGAGCTGTGGTACTGCAAAGGCGCCCTGGAGAACCTGCTGCCGCGCTGCTCGGCCTACTCGGTCCACGGACGGCCCGAGCCGCTGACGCCGTCTCGAATGGAGAAAATCAAGGCCGAGTCGTACGAAATGGGCCGGCGCGGCCTGCGCGTGCTGGCACTTGCGCGGGGACGCGAGCAGGATAACCTGGAGCTGGTCGGCATGGTGAGTGCCAGCACGATGGTGATTCAAGACAATACTGCATAATGTTTTTTTTTTTTAACTTTCGAATTTCGCTTGCCGCTGATCGTCAAGTGGCTCCTGGCCCTCCATGTCTGTTAGATCTAATGCTTTCTATGAAATACCTTGTTGTGAGGTGACTGATGACTGACCAGCGCTGACCTTGTGACATCCCAGGTCGGTATCATGGACCCGCCTCGGCCGGGCGTGCGAGACCAGGTACTCATGCTACAGATGTCCGGAGCCCGGGTCAAGATGCTCACAGGAGACGCGCGCGAGACGGCCTGTGCCATCGGTGAGACGTCCAATATGTATATTGTTACTTCCCTTAACCTTCTGAACATGCAGTATCATCTGTTGTCAACCGTACTATGCGATCCTACTACTCAAGGGCGTAAACTGGTGACATCCCATGTACAGCCCTCAGCAGACTGCGTGGGCGTATTCTTTTGTTTTCGACAAAACCGATAATAGCTCAAAGGCTATGCTATCAGTCGGTCGGAACTCACTGCAAATAGATGCGCCATGCTCTACTCCTTCGGATGGGCTTATCACTAAGCAAAGTATACGCCTTGTCTGGCAGCAAAATGCAAAAGTTTGTTTTTGGGGCAAATATAAACTTTTGGGTTTTGTTGCCAAACTTGATGGAAAATGAACACGATGATAATGCCAATCTAAGGTGCGGAGTCTCGCGCGTCTTGCTGTTAAGATTTTTGAGTGACCGATAGCATAATATCCGCGTTATTCTCGGTTTTGTCGAAAAAAAAGAATACCACGCAGTTTGCAGAGGGCTGTACCTGCTCATTCGCTTGCACAAAGTGCATGCTAAATTGTGTCGCCCGCTGACCATTGTTGACGTGGGCAGGCGTACAGCTGGGCCTGCCGGTGACGTCCAACTCGGTGATCAGCGGCGACGAGATGGACAGGTGGAACGACCACCTGCTGGAGGAGATGATCGACAACATCACCATCTTCTACCGCATGGCGCCCAAACACAAAGTCAAAATCATCAAGGTACGAAGGGCGAATGATTCAGCCAGTCGACGAGTTGCATTGCCACCATCGTAAATGATAATAACGTGGATGAGGAGCGGATAACTCGACAGCTGCATAGACATGTCTTTATGCCTTTTTTCATGATAATTATTTCGTTTGGTGGCCGGCCCAGTGTGTCCGATTCTTTTTCTATTGATCTTGGCGCCGCCATATTCTAAAGATGCACCGTGTTTCTGTATATAGGCGCTGCAGGCCAAGCACTACATCGTGGCAATGACCGGTGACGGTGTAAACGACGGCGTGGCTCTGAAGAAGGCCGATATCGGTATCGCCATGGGCAAAGTCGGTACAGATGTCAGCAAAGAGGCGGCCGACATGATCTTGGTCGATGACGACTTTACCACCATCATGTGAGTGGGCTGCAGCTAGAAGCTGGGTGTGAGGGTTTCCTACCAAGCTGAAATTGGTGCACACAGGTAACCAGGAACTTTGGTGCAAGGCGCACAACGCAGAACTAAAGGCGTTTCGCAGTCTCGAGTGGTCGCAGTTGGCGGTGATCCTTCCGCTTATTAATCGATAAGAGTTGAATGATAGTAGTTTATTAGAGCTGAACGGCGCTAATTAAATTCTGGAGCCTCCCCTAGATGTGTGGTGCCTCAATAATGACGAATATTTACGTTTTCAGGAGCGCCATCGAGGAAGGCAAGGGCATTTTCTACAACATCGGCAACTTTGTGAAGTTTCAGCTGTCGACCAGCATCGCGGCGCTGTCGCTGATCGCCCTGTCCACACTGCTGGGCATCCCGAACCCGCTGAACGCCATGCAGATTCTGTGGATCAACATCATCATGGATGGCCCGCCCGCTCAGAGGTGAGGCCGGCTATAGATATTAGATAGTGCGTAAAAACTTACAGTGGGAAGCACATGTCTTCTTCTTCGTCGATGGCGACTGCAGCTCTTTCCCAGTCGTCTTTCCCACATTAAACCAGAATCCTACTAGGCACTTCTCTCCGACACATCGCGTGACGGAGCCGTTAAATGTTTAGTCTTAGCTTCTTTCTCATCGGTACTCTGAAAATCACTGCCTTGATTAATGTCGCATTCAGTAACTTCCCTAGAGTCCCAATATTTTACTTGCTTGTATCCAGACCGGACTCGTTCCCTTCTATAGTCTGGGCTTTGAGCTGTGTAACTGGAACTTGCTAACCGATGTATGGTCTGACCCATCCCCCGCAGTCTGGGCGTGGAGCCGGTGGATCGGAACGTGCTAACCGCTGTATGGTCTCACCCCCCCCCCCCTCTCCCCCGCTCCTCCCACAGTCTGGGCGTGGAGCCGGTGGACAGGGACGTTTTGAAGCAGCCGCCGCGCGACGTCCGGCAGTCGATGATCACGCGGTCGCTGCTGCTGAACGTGCTGCTCTCGGCGTCCGTCATCATCTGCGGCACGCTCTGGGTGTTCCAGAGGGAGGTGAGAGACCGGGGGCGGCTGCTAGTTACTCCAGCGGCTGTTGGAGCTCCAGCTCCAGCAGTCAGTGGAAGGCGGTTGGGGATATTTGCCTTTGACATTGGGTGATCTCGAAACGCGTTGTAGGGGAGATGCACAACTCAGCTGTCGTGCTCTTCGTTTATGCAACTTGTCGGTTTTTCGTCAAACTCTCCCAGCTCGTTGCTGACACTTCCTTCTTTCCCAGATGAGTGACAACATCATCACGCCACGGGATACCACCATGACGTTCACCTGTTTCGTGTTGTTCGACATGTTCAACGCGCTCAGCTGCCGCTCTCAGGTAAGACACGCGTGTTTCCGCTGTCAGCGCTTTCCCCGGTGACTCTATCGCTAACAGTCTCGACTGTTCCTGTCGTTCGCTAGTTGTAGCCTTTGTATCCGTCATCTCATTCCCTGCCTCTGACACACCCGTGTCTGTCTCGCGTCCGCAGGTGAAGTCGGTGTTCACCATCGGCCTGCTTTCGAACAAGTTCTTTTTGCTGGCGGTGGGCGGTTCGCTGGTTGGTCAGCTGTTTGTTATTTACTTCCCGCCGCTGCAGCGTGTGTTCCAGACCGAGGCCCTCTACCTGTCGGGTAAGTGATGGGGAATTGTTTAAGTGGGGGGAGGTGGGAGCGGTTAGTAGGGAAGGGGTTGCAGTGTTTAGAAGGGAATATTATGTAGGAGCCATACAGGGGTCATTCTATACTCTCATGCAACTACAATTACTCAATAACACCGAATCGTTCGCCTCAGAGCCCAAACCACTACCATCACATAACGCGGACGCGTTCATTGCTGCAGATCTGGTGTACCTGCTGGCCATCACGTCCAGCGTGTTCGTCGTCTCCGAGGTGAAGAAGTACCTGGAGCGCAGCGGGCGCAACAGCCGACCGGCCAAGTCTCACGCCAAGAGCGGCTTCAACCGCACAGATATGGTGTAGCGTCACTCATGACAGTCCTCTCGGACTAAACTCTAGTTATCCTTATATACGGCAGCCAACACAGAAGCTCGCCGAAACAGTGTGATGAGACTTACGAGGCACTTTGACGGCCGAATATACTGCAGTGCAACTATAGCGGCAATTATGTGGGTGTGTCTGGTTCGGGCTGGGGGTGGTTAAACCCGTCCGGTGACGCGGAATCTGACAGGGAGCGGGTTAATGTGTGATGTGTCCATGTGTCTGTGAGTGTGCGGCTGTTTTGGCCCGGTCAGGGTAGCCCGCAGTGCGGAGGGCTCAGGACCGCGCGGCGGGCTGTGTTCACTTCTTGCCACCGGCCCAGTGGCATGTCCTAGCTGGGCGACAACTAGCATTCAACGGGCTTTACGGGCGGTTTTAGGTTGTCGATGTGTTGTCGTTCCTTTAGGGATTATGTGGTGCGATTGGTGACGGCGACCGAACAATGTCGCTTTTGAACTGTATGTACATGATTGGTCAATATAATATTATACTCAGACATGCAATCAGCAGTTTGCGGCGATGATGCTCCATTATCATATTTGTGTCTTCATTTTTTTTTACGTGATTTCGAGACAGGTTCACGTCGAAGATTCTAAACAAGGATACTAAGGCCACCTCTCGATAGCGACGAAATCTCACGTAAATCACAAATTGGAAAAAAGCGGAGCCAAGATGCTCTCGGCGCAACCTATGCACCTACCTGACACACCACGAGATATTTGGATTGCGTATTCCTCACTCTCGACCGGTGTTTCAAGTTATCAACAGGCTCGGTTACTAAGGCGATAAGGGTATGTACTATGTGGGGGAAAGGGGTTAACCAGTAAGCCCCGATACTTCTCACAACTTTCTCAGTCTCTTCACGACGTTGATCCTTGTTTTAAGAACACTCTCCGCTCACTGTGTATTATTTTATTTATTTGCGAATCGTGACGTCCAAACACGTTGGTTATTACAACAGTCATGGCACAGTTTACAATCATAACATACGATAACATCTCGTTAGCGCCAGAAGGTTGATATAAGCTATGATAGTGAAGTTATACACAGTAGCTTTACGGGAAACTGATCGGAAACTATGAGGAAAAGCGTTATTTCTGATCAAACAAGAATGAATGGAAAGAAGTACCGTCGCGATTTTAAGGAGGCGTATCTCGCCTACGTTCCCGCCTCAATAATCGAGTTGACCTTCGATTATTTCAAGTCAAACAATAAAGCAAAACGTTCTCCGCGCCGTGTGCAAAAAGTAAAAAAGCAAGCAGCCGTGGACTCGGTCGGTGGAGGGCGGCGCCTTTCGCAAACCGCATTGCATCTCACAGGGCCACCGAGCGTGCCATCCAACAGTGACACAGTAATGTTGATCAGAACGGCCCTCGGGCGAGCCGCACAGCCCTCTGACGGAGCTGAGACGCGCACCATACTCTCATGCCTACATACGGTCTCTCTATTCATGGTCTCTATCACTGGTTATTTGGGTGTGCGGCCGAACAGCCGCCAACGCCGGTAATAAAAGCTCATAACGTCACAAATATCGGCGCTCTCCGCCAACAGGAATGCACGTGGAATAAACCTAGCCATACCTATCGTACGCTGCCATGTATGGTTAGGGTCGCGCGGTCAGAAAACGAGCATGGCGCGGCGCCCCGTTAAAGCGATTATGCTGCGGGCTAGCTGCGTGGCAGTGGTGGGCGGCGGTCCGCTGGCAGGGCGGAGCGCCTCAGTGCCGGAAGGACGGGGCGCCGCGCCTGGCGGGTCACCGCGCCGCGCGCTCCCGACCCTCTCGTTCCTCGGCCTTCTGCCGGCGCCGCTCGGCCTTCTGACGCTTCTTCAGCTGTTTGTGGTGCTCACGAGTCATGGCGTCCTCATCGAGGTCCAGCTTTGTCATCTGCCAACAGGACAGCAACATTTGTAATCGCATTACAATACACAGGACAGACATATTCTTTATTCCACCTTATCGATATACTCGTCTCTATGATCACACAGAGTTGAAGCATGTAAGATTCACTCACCTCCTGAACCAGCACAGACTCTCGCATGATTTCCGGCGGCAGGTTTCTGAGAAACTCGACCGTCTCGTACATGGTGGGACACTGTTTTAGGATGCCGCGCCGTCCCAGCGCGTACCGTATCAGCACCAGGCCGACCCTGAACAGCACCTTCACACCTGCCGGGCGGAGGGCGAGCGGAGCTCTCAGTATATTAAAACATACACTGAATTGGTGTGAACGACTCGACGATCGTGTTGAAACCATCAATGGGGTGCTACTAGGTGTCAGTAGGAGCTACTATAACTGTATGATGATAGGTGTGATGCTGCTACCTAGCGACATTAAATTCTAGTAGCAGTATAACGCGAGTATTTTGCATAACCATTGGTTCGAACGTCAGGAAAAGAAGGTTTGTGCCTTACCTTCACAGAAGAACATGTCCCAGACGCGCAGGACAGAGGCCCACGGCAGCGTCCGGCTATAGACGCACATGAACCACTCGACCATGTACAGCGCCGGGTCCAGCTTCTGCTTCTTCTGCGGGTACAGCACGGAAACGGCGCGGTCATCAGGAGGGGGACGCTGTGACAGCATTCCAGCAATGCGCACATTGCACAACACATCTGTACTTGAAGTAACTTTACAGTAATTCCGTAATAGGAACCGCTGCAGATGAAAATATTGTGTTGGTATAATTGTTGAGCCAGCTAATTAATGTAAAACCTGATGCCGCATTTCTATTGATTTCCCAACCCTTTTAGTCTACATACATCACCAGTTTTCAGCTAACTCGAAGAGGGTAGGTACCAATACCTGTTAGATACCTGCCAACTTCTGCTAACTTGGAATACAAGCGGAAGTAAAGCATTATAATGCATGCAACGCTGCCGGCTGATAGGGAAAAATCGCACCGATGGTAGCATATGACTCACAGGTGTGGCAATGTTGTGCAATAACGACAGATAACCACACGGCAAATGGGCGCTCTTACCAGGTGCCGATACACGTGCGGCGACACTTTCTTCACCAGTCCGTGTAGAATGTCGCCGTCCAGCTGGACGCGTTCCAGGCCCTGGCCGTAGTAGCCGGGTAGGTACTCCTTGCAGATGGAGACCAGACACCAGAACGCCTGCTCGGTGGGCATGTGCATGAGCAGCACGGCGGCTAGCGGGGCCTGCGCCTGACTGTAGCCGTCCGAGGGGTTGTACACGGCGTAGGCGCGCAGCACCTTCATCAGCTCCTCCTGCCTGTCAGAGAGAGAAGAAAAAACAGGAACGTGTTACATACCTACAAGCGTGCCTAGTGTCACTGTTCACCAAACCGCAACATTAAGGTTTCAATGACTAAAAGTGCTTTTATCAAGTTCAGTTACCGAATGACTCACCCATGCCCTCCTTTCCGCATGAACATCTCGTGCATGGGGAACTGTCGGTGCAGGTCGCGTCGGATCTCGTCCAGCACCTGCGCGTCGATCGGCAGCTCCAGCAGCCGATCGTAGGCGCCCGCGTTACGCTGCAGCATGTAGTAGCCGCCGCAGAGGTGCTGCCACGCCCTGGCGCGCAGGGAAGTCGGGATACCCTTCCGACACCGGCTCCGCACCTGTCAGACCGCCGAGCGCGCGTCTCCGGTCAGTTCGGAATAAGTAAAAAAAAAAAAAAAAACACTGCAAGAATCGGAATATACTGATATTCTGATCGGAGGTGAAGTGTAGTGAAGAGCTATGCACCGATGAAAATTGATCAAGTGATAGAAACAGTTGTAGGTAGTTACTCTGGCGAGGCCGGAAAACGACACGTATGGTGGTAATCCGCTGCCTTGGTCGTACGCACAAATGTGGCCGTTCTCGTGACTGGAAGATGGTATCTGACATCAGCCATGATAGTGAATCAATGAACATATAATTAAAGACTTCCTTGGTAAATGTGTACTTTCAACCAGATTTTGTTATGCCTAGTAGCTAACGTAGGCAACTCACCTTTTTGAAGTTGTGAGTCATAAAACTGTCCCAGTGTTCCAGCATTTCCAGCCACTTGTGTTCCCTCTGCCGTAGCATTTTAACCGGCAGTTTCTCCTCCCTGGCAAGAAGCACATAAATCACAGAATTGGGTAAACGAGTGACACATTTTTATTGAATGAGTTTCCATTCTTTCAAACTAAAATGCATCACTTCATAAAGATCCCGTGCTTGACGATAAATGTCCACCGAAATCGTAGCACAAAACAATATGATATCCAATTTGCTTATCTGCTAGATCAGCAAATCTTCGAGAGAACAAGTTGAACTAAAAACGTTTATAGCCATTGCATCACCACATCCTCAGTGAGTACAAGCCCCAGCTCATGCCATGAATGCAATATGACCTACACTTCTGTGACAATTATGATAGACACACCCTGTGTGAAATGCAGGTACTTTTTGACATACTCACTCATAATGAACGTTGTCGCCATCGACGTGCATGAAGCCATACTTGTCCGGTATGGTGGAGACAGTCGAGATGGCAGCATTGGTGGCCTGCTCAGAGCTGGAGGTGGTCTCATCGTCTGACACATCCATTTCAGCTGCCGTCCCACCGGCCTTCTGAGCCGGCACCTCAGCCGACATGGTCACCTCCTTACACGGCAGGAGTAGGGGAACTGGATGCAGAGGAGAGGCGAATAGGAGGCAGGCTAACAGGGAAAACAAGCTACAGTTCACGTAACACACACTGGTTGCCTGTCAGGGCAAAAGGAATGAGAAAGGGGAAATTTGCTTCACTGAATTTCTTCTCATACATGCAAGAACATAAAGAATTAAGTTTCATCTGGAGATGATTTATTGTCATTGGGGACTGAGGTATCACATTATGCTAGCAAAGGCATTTGATTATACCTGAAAAGGAAAAAAGGGTTAGTTACCAGTCAGATCAGAAGCAAAGTGAGGTAAAGATAAATGTATCTCAATTCACTAGGAATGGAGACCTGCCACTTGCCAGGATGTCAATTTGATGCCTAGGTACACATTTTACCAAAACAAATCTGAATGCCTGAGGAAGAGCACATATGGTGTGAAAAATGATCAAAGAATAATATTTTTAGAGTACCGTAAACCGGGGTGAGTTGATATGGATTTTGAGGTTATTCTAGATTTCGTTAAAAGCCACATTCATTTACGGAATTCTTTTTGTGCCAGTTTCATGGCACATGCCTTGGGGAGGCAATCAGCAAAAATGAATAAAAAATGTATATATTAAGCCCCTTTTTTAAAACGCCAAAGTTCATATCAACTCACCACCCCACAGGGGGTGAGTTGATATGATTTTGGATTTTTCAAAATTTCTCGGCTAAAGAAGCTCAGAGGTGAGTTGATAAAATGCCAGTGTTTAAAAAAAGGATGAGAGAACACATCCTGAAAGAAACCATTAGAAAAATGCTAGTAGTTTGGCAGCAGACCTCACATTCATGAAAACGCAATCATGTCCAACACAGCGCGATCAAAATGGCTTGATTTTAGCAGCATCATTTTTTCGCTTTATGATACTTAGTTTTACTTAGAACATTCTGAACTTGGCTAGTCACGTGTCCTCAAGCCAACGGTATCAAAACTGGCAATATATTTTGGAATTACAAGTGTATTTTCTTGTAATTAAAACACATTGTCAGTTGCGGGTCAAGGTTGATATGCCTCTGACAGAAACAATGGATTGAAATGAAAGAATACATATACTTCTGAGCTTTTGTTGACTGGTAGTCAACAAAATATTAATGAAGTGAAGTGAAGCGAATCTAATTCGGACTGTATTCTAAGCGACATAAAACAGAATTCGGCATCAAAAGCCAAAATTAACCCTCGCACTTATAGGCGGGCGAACGGACCACCTCGGCTTTTCGCACATAACTCGCGCAAAAAGCGGCCGATCACGACGAAACTTTCAGTACCTCTCGAGTTTATCAATTTTACACATGTTCTAAAGATTTCATGACTCTGACTCAAATGGTTTTTGACTTGTGACCTGATTCTCGAGACCATGCTTGGCCGGAATCGCGATTTGGCGTAGTCGGCTCACATTATCCGCGCATTTCCAGTCTTTTTGTGATTGTAACGTCCAAACATGTAAATGATGTTGGTCCCACGCAGTATTTTGGGTGTCAACTGTCAAGGTCACCTGAAGGTCAGGTCAGGTCATTGACCTTTGGTGACCTCGGTTCACTTTTTGGAGTTTTACATGTTTCTAGGGTAGTTTTTTTCGGGCCGATTTCGAATTTAACATGCATTTGATCATTTATGAAGTAGTTTTAGTGCCTTCGTAACATGTTACGACACCGTCAGTGGTAGCTGACACTTGACACTCCCTATGGATAGCCGGCAGGACACCTACTGGTTGACCTGACCTGACCTGACCTGGCCTAAATGTACGAAGACATCTGTGAGCAAAACTAACATGACATTCGCGATCAGCAACAGCCAAAAAATAATAAACTCGCTTTACGAACTTCAAATAACCCCCTATTTTCCCGACTTCTGGGTAATTGACCTGGCCTGGAAGGTTAACCAATGACCAAGTTGGTTATCATCGGCTTCCTCGCGTCTCGGGCAACACGCTCATTTTTTTCCGCGAAGCTCTAGCTCCACCAGGGGCCAAACGACGATGGGATTCCAACGGACCCCCCCCCCCCCCCCATACGTTAAACGCTGGCAAAACACGAATACGGGCGAGGGCCAAACACCAGTCAATTTCTTTATATTGTTTGTTCCATTTCATTTTGCCTCTCATTCTCGGTTGGCAACTGCCAAGCAGGAAAACTAATCAGTTTCACGAGATCAGAATTCCCGCGCTGTTAGCCATACAGAAATGACAGTTCTGTCATTTTCGAAACTACGAATAAATATAACAGTTTTTTAATCTGTATGTAATATAGGTGTTCCATAGTGTTCCTTTGTAGCTTGTAGGGAGCCATCTTGAGACTTGACAGGGAGCTGTGCTGTGCCTTTTGCATGTTAGGTATGTCCACAGAAAAAAAAAACTTTGGGGTTACTGATGTTAGTTGTCGGACCTCGTCCCCGTCTTGAGTTGAGATTCAGTTTCATAACGTTTCGGCCAGTTACTCTCCGGCCGTCGTCACTCGTCAGGTGTTCTTTGACCCTCAAGGACCTGGATGTTGGTGGCGTTGCGCCGTACGCGTCAAACAGTTCGAAAGCTCCTGTAGTCAGCGGGAATCGAACTCGGGTTTCCCCGGTGATGGTCCACGGTTGTAACCACTCCACTATCGAGGCAGGCTTGACTACGGCCGGAGAAGCTACTGGCTGAAACGTTGTGAAACTAACATCTCAACTCAAGACGGGGACGAAAGTCCGACAACTAACATCAGTGATACTAACAGGCCTCGTCTCAAGCATTCAGAAAAAAACTAAAGCTTTTGGGGGTTGATGGAATGATGTGGGGAAAGAAAAGGAGAAGAGTTGGTCTAATTGACTTTGTCTTACCTGCAGACCCATATTTCATGCTAATTTGCATGCCTACCAGCCTGGTATCAGCTTTTATCATGCATATCAACTCACCACCTGATGGCATATCAACTCACCACCTGTCACTTTTCTTAAAATTATAAAAAAGCGTTGTTATAGGTAAAACCCAAAACTACCTGGGATCAACAGTAAATTGATGGTAGTTTCTTTCCCAGTGCATGTTGTTTCATTAATATCCACCGTCTTTGCTGTAGGGTGGGGACTTTTCCTTAGTTTCAAAATCAGAAGAAAAAAAGGACTTTGAAAAAAGTAATGTGTTAAGAAGGCACTGCACCACATGCATGCCTTTCTCAGCTATATGCATCACTTATTGGTTGCTTCACTTCACAGAAAAATAAAACTAAAAATTGGTTTACAAATGGATGAGCAGCACACATTTTAACATTTTTCGAGCAATTTATATCAACTCACCACCCCATATCAACTCACCCCGGTTTACGGTACCTATAGCATCCAACTCTTACATATGCTCATGAAAATGGGCTCACAGTGCCACAGTGGTACCTAGCATCCATGCCACACTAAAAATCAAGGCACCTACATAAATGCTGGCAATAATACTATATTTTGTAAGCAAACTTTATTTCATTTAATTTTCATGTTTGCAGACACCAGTAAGACAAAAATTTGCCACAATCCAGTCTCAAAATGTCATTTCTTATTCAGCTGGGACAGTAATGTTGTTTTGCTAACCTTGCTATCTTTCATCAACCACCAGAGATACCTGGCCCAGGAGTAAGTGGGGTGCTAGGTGGCCGGTGGGTGTCAAGTTGGTGTAAACTGTAAGCCGTAAGGTGAGTTAATATTTGCTTTTTTCAATGACCATTAGTTTTTTCAACTCAGTTAGACTTGGCATGATACCTGTGCAGAATGACAATTGCCATGACAAATGTGGCCTCTTTCTAGTCCCGGCCTTTTATTCTCTGGCCGTCCAGCGTTAAGCCTTTCAGGACCCACTCAGAGTCAGAGTCGCTGTTGTTTTTGCCACTCACCCCTGGTGAGATGCAAAGTTGATAGTCATATCAACTAAACTATCAAGTTTATTTAGGGCATCTAAGTAAACAAATTCAAAATAAATTGATTCCATAAAAACTGTTTTCAGCGGTTACATAATTACATAGTACATACTTTAACAATAATTCTGGACCAGGCTAGCTTGACCATTAATAAGCTTCGTGTGACTATTAACTTTGCATCTTAAATCAAAATGGGAAGTGGCGAACACAACCACAGCCCCGAGTGGATCATGAAAGGCTAAGTGCTGGACGCAGCCAGAGATTAAATCACCGGGACCAGAAGCAGGATCAAATCACATTTTGGCACCTCAAAATTGGAGTCACGATAAGTCAAAAGTGATGAATAAATAATTTGAGAGGCTTGCAAACAAGCAAAAGAATCAATAGAATATGATTTAAGATAAATTGCAGTAAGTATGCCTGACACTCTTGATGTAGAAACCGTAGAAACACAGAAAATATGACACGGATGAAAATTCCCCTCAGCCTAAGAGCCCAAGCCTGTCGTGTCTCTCAGCCTATGCAGATGGCCTTGGCCTATGCAAAAATGAGTTTGCAATTTGACCCTCTCAAATCACAGTGAGTCTCACTTACAATTCCAGCACCTGACACTGAATAAAATATTAATTAAAATTAAAATTACCCACCAAAACAAAATAAAATGCCTCCGTATCAATTGCCGCAGAGCATCCACAATTGCATCAAAAAAATATCAAGGATAGCGAATATTTGAAGGGCACACCAGTAACCTGAAAATGACGTCATAAGAATTTTGCATTTCCAAAGCAGGTTTCCAAAGAGTCAAGGCTATAAAAATACAGATTCCTATGCATGAATCTCGCTGAATCTTAACGTTTCCCTTCATTTGTGTTGGGTGGAAAGTGACGGATCGAGTGAGTATTGAAGCATCCAAGAGCGCAGCATCCCAAGGGACGCAACATCCCAATTCCAAAACCTTAGGGATCAGGTACGGTCTGACCTGAGGTCAAAAATGTTTGACAAGGTCCAGAAGCCGTAAAACTTCTGACTTTGAATTGAATGACCTTTGGTAGGTCAATTTTCCTTTACCCCGAGAAAAAAGGCGGTATCTTGAAATGTTGTTTACCGTTTCTTGCTTGACGCTTAAAGGGACCCTCCCACCTTCAAAAAAGTTAATGAATTGGCATGAAAGTGATGTCGCTCGGTTCAGGAAGAGCGAAAACGAATATCTACCAAATTTCATCGAAAAATATTCACCGGTTTTCAAGATATTAGACTTTTACTATTGTTTACTTTCTGGGATCTCAGATGTTCCTAGCGACTTTATTTGAAAGTGCGGCATTTGTTGCGCGCAAAGCAGCATATACCACCGCGTGCTACCAAACGTTTTAGTAAAAGATTTAAAAATCGTTAGACCTCCGCTGACGTCACAAATTCTAAGGGGGCATACCAATGCATTAGCCCCTTAGAATCCGAAAATTGCAAGTTTGAAATTCCATATCTCCGAATTAAAGCATTTTTCGATGTTGTGAGTGCCCAAACCGGTATTTTCAGGCCATGGCCACCAATTTGGCTATCTCAACTCAAAACTAATGTTAAGGTGGGAGGGTCCCTTTAACTCGCGGCCCGGCAACTAAGCTCTAGCTGTCAGTAACACGGACAGGCCATGTGAAAATGGGACTCGGAATAACATTTAGGCATATTTTATTGCATGGGGTGCCTATAAGTTCCTTAGGTAAGTTCATGGCCACTTAAAGGCATCTGCCGTGTGTGAAGAATATGTGCCGATAATCAGCATACACTTCACGTATTTAGGTACGTATCGTACATAGCATCAAATGGGTGCCTACATAAAGTCGCATGGTTGCCGAAGTTTTGTGACCGCGTCCCTGTGGTCGCCGACTGTGCCTCAGAGCGAACCTACCTATATATCTAACATCAGTGCCGATTATAGGAATACAAGGACGACTCACCCATTTATCATTCAGAAACATCCGCTGACCGTTTAAAAACAACATGTCAGAGGCACCGTATCGAATGCGCAATTGTATTTTTTTATGGGCAAGGTCATTGAAGTATCTAAGCAGTTATCCTGACCTCGGACATCATGGAGCAAATAGTCATTAGATAGGTAATCCATATTTTCACAATCTGTGTAATACTGTTATAAATACTGTACAATGTACAATATACCTACAGCGTGGCACGTTTTACTTGGCTGCGTATTAACTAGGTGATGATTGCGGCGATACGCAGCGCCGACCGCGACCTTTAAAACATTAGAGAAAACTTGACCTCAGGTTAGGATGACTATAGTTAAGCTATAGGGGATTAACCCCTCCTCTAACATGTGCAGGACACCACGCCCTGGCATTTGTTATGTCTGTGGCCTGCATCAAGTCCAGACCATCGGACAGACAACCGCAGTCATCGCCACTCGAAAAGTCGCACTTGTCATCTCTTCGTGACAAGGATCGCTGGAGTTGACAGTTGACCAGACATCTATCTTAGGCTGTCCATCTTCGGAGGACACTGACGCGGTGGTAGCGGCTCCAGCAGACGCCAGCCGAGGTAGCCGAGCTCAGTAGAAGCCGTCCACGTCGGCACCAACGTGGTCGCGACTCGCCGAGATGCGCCGCTGCACGACCGTCACCCTGTTCAGCGGCGCGAACAGCCCGTAGTCCGGCTCACATTCAAAGTACCTGGAGAACGAGAAGCATTCAATATTTGGCCTGCACTGCAGCTGCCAGAGCCGTATAAGCGAGCATACGCAAGCATTAGCGTGCAGAAAGGCAGCAATAGGTACTCAATAACTGACTGGCTAACTTTGTCTATAGGCTTATGGCTTATGGTTAACTATCAGATGATCTGCAGATTTAAGACGCAACGCACTATAATTGAAATAAAATATTCCTTGTAGGATTTCTTAGGGATTAAAATAGACATTTAGATTGCCGTTTATCCGGATCGTTTTGTTCTGAGCAGGCATTTTAAAGAAATTGACATTTGACGCCGTAACCAAATTGCTTTCCCCAATAGCTCGCCTTTAGGAGCCCTGAACTGTCACGGTCCGGTGCCGGTACCCAGGGTATATTGAATAGGCCGGTGCCCACCTCTTGCCGGCGACGCTGCCGTCGTTCCTGCCGCGCGGCTCGTCCAGCTGGATACCGACCCAGACACCGTCGGCGAACTCGGCGTGGCCGACGTAGCGGACGGTGCCGAGCCGACGGCCGATGACGCTGCTGCTCACCGAGACCCGATCCCCGCACCGCGCCGGCGTCGGCACTGCACGCAGAAACAGAGCGACGATAGCATGCTAGTCTACAGTCTGCATGAGCCATAATCGTCGGTCATCGACTCATCATATGACTGATGCATCAAATGCCTACTACATAGTTATTCAGCATGTGAACTTATTCCGCAGTTGCCTATATTTGTATTAGTCTTTGCCCTTTTTATTCACCTGTGAAGCTGGGGCTGGAGCTGCGCCGCGCCGGAGACGGCGGCGCCTTGGCCGGGCTGGAGCTGCGGCGCGCGCCGGTGGGCAGGGTAGCCACCGGGCTGGAGCGAGAGGTGCGCCGCGAGCCGGGCCGAGAGTCGGCGCCGCCGTCTGCCGAGGCCTGTGAGCTGCGCCGGGAGGGGGACCCGCCGCCGGCGGAGGTGGAGGGGGCGTGCCACTCGGGCGGCGGCGACCCCAGCGGCTCCCGGCTGAGACGGGTGAGCCGAGAGAACACGCCGTGCCGCGGCTCGCACTGGAAGTACTGGTGACCACCCACGGTGCCGTCGTGTTTTCCTGGCAACAAAGAACGGGGAAATGGTCCAAGAAACAGATTCCGACTCACGGGGCAATGGTTCAGTTTTTTTTTACGTCAGGCGGTAAAAGAGAGGTCCGGTAGCGGGTAGTGACCGCAAGACTTCGTGCTGTTATACAGACTATTCATGTGGTTGATTTGGCTAAGTTTAATTAAGATGTATGTAGGTACCTATTATATATCTTTTTAAAGGTAGGTACACAATTTTATCATTAAGTAACAATATGCCAATTGCAGCCAATTACCATGCAATTACCTTTTTAACCGTTATTGATGTGACGGCCAGCGGTGTTGCGATTACCGATGTAACTATCAGCAATAATACGATTTAATGACTACCGATGTTACGGATAGCGATTAACAAGGGTATTAACAACTAACGCTAGAGCGATTAAACGATTGAAGAAGGCATTATAAACGATAACGATTTATGATATAGGTAAGGATTAACATTTCAAGATGAATCATCTATTTAAGCCATCAATGATTGAACTACGGAAAGTTGAACGACTTGGCAATTTAACGATTTAACTATTAACAATTTAACGATTTCATTATTAACAATTAAATGTTAAACGTTTCACAGCCCTCAGTTACTAACAAGTTAACAGGTTGACTAAAGGCCTTATTGTTTTAACGATTCTCGATTTTAAGGGTTACAAGAAATACGGTTGAAGAACAAAGGAATAAACGATTAAATATTTAACAACAACGGATTTAATCATTCATGTGTCGATTTACGATTAACAACAAATGATTCCCGATTTGAATAATCAACGAAAAACTTTTTCACGATTTAACGGAAAGTCTTAAAGGATTTAATTATACACGGATTAAATATGAATGAATAAACGGTTAATGATTAACAGTTTATTCATATTCATTTAAACGTTACCCTGAAGGATTTACAGGATAACGATTAAATATATACGATCTAAAGATTTGCCGATGAACGGCATATTTACCAGCGGTTCACCGGAAACCAATACCTATTGTCTTATACTTTCCTTTGTCACGTAGCATCAGCGGGTCTGCCAATGCGAAGCGAAGGCAATCGATTCGCTTTCTGAAAAATAATGCATTCCCGAATACGCTTCTATTCAATTACTTTATCTGTGAACAACAGACTCGACTTGGGTGAGAACGTTGACAGACAGGTATACGATGATAATCAACGTAATGGCACTCCGTCACTTTGCGATGCCGTTTCTTTAGCTCATGGCACAAAACTATCGGGCGATGTAGTTAATCCATTCACCATAGGACATGGAATAACCCTAAACCCGGAGCTTCTGCGCACTGTGTTTCACCGTTCATGCATGTGTAAACACATTAGCCGGTTGCTCCTCGGTGCAGTGGTCCGGCGGACTTACCGAAGGGTTTCTCGAGCACGACACCGGCCCAGTCGCCGCCGCCAAACTTTGTCTCGCCAATGTAGGCGATCTTGCCGGGCAACGTTCCGCCGACAAACACCAGCTCGCCGACCATGAAGCTGTCCGTGTCCCGTGTCAACACAGTGTCTGTGGGACAGGTCGACGGTAGTCATAAATCCCCTTTAGCAAGGACAGAGCAAGGCAAAATGGGAAAAATTCATAGTAACTCTAGTAAAGCTAGTTGCTTTTAAATGGGCGCAAATTACAAAATATATCAAGACATGCGATACGGTTTATGTAGAGCCGAGGTTGTCGTCATATTTTTGCTTTGGCTAAATCACAACATGACGTATTAGCTAGTAGCTATACCTGTCGAGAAGCGCCGCGCAACACCTGCTTCGCTGAGCCGCCTCAGCGATTCGTAGTCGTCCATGGTGATATGCAGTATTCTGCCGATCGAGAAAAAAAAGACGTTGAAGTGTGATAGTGATATGAACATATACATGGTCCGAGTTCCATAATATTTTCGATCTTCAGGAAACAGGAACAGGCAAGTCTTCAATTACATCTACGTCCGACGTCGTATCACATAAGAATAGCATACACACGTGTTCAATTAGTACTAAGAACGGGCGGACAGACGGACGGCGTCCGTCTGTCTGTCTGTCCGTCTATCCGCCTGTCCGTCTGTCCGTCCATCCAGTCCCGTCCTGTCCCGTCCTGTCTGTCTGTCCGTCCGTCCGTCCGTGCTATCCGTCCGTCCGTCCGTCTGTCCGCCCGTTCTTAGTACTAATTGAACACGTGTTATGCTATTCTTATGTGATACGGCTTTCAGAGCTGCCGTCACCGGTTGTCTGTGCCTTGATGGGCAGTGCAGAACACCGGAGACTGATCAAGGGCTACGACGGGCTGGTCCTAGCTTTGTCCGCATCCTCGGAAAGATGCGTCTGTAATTATTTTTGCATTCGGTATTTAGCTCGTTTCGGTTGGGACAATTACTCCGAAACGATCGGTATCTGGCTCGGATGTCTCCTCTGAAAAATAAGCCACAGAGATCATTAACCTATCGTATATCGTCTTGGTGGTGATGTCATCTCCGCGGGTGATGTTAATGAGGCGTCTCGGCGGCTCGGCGGGCGGTGTCGGAGCCACCTGTGGCCGTCTAACGTGTCCCGTGGCACCGCAGAGCCGGAGAAATGACAGGAGGCCGCGAGCTGACCGCAACACCATCCCCGCAGGGTCCCGAGGGCAGGCGCCGGTCCGGCCACAGCCCCGAGCACCGGCCCGCTCGTCAGCCGGCGACCAGGTGTGAGTGTGAAGGTCAGCTCGCGCGGGAGAGCTGAGAGGGACTGCCGGGCGCGTGGGAGGGCGGCGTCACTGCTGATAACGCCGGCACGCAGGGGCGTCGCCACGGATTTTTGAGTGGGGGGGTCGGGTTTCTAGTCTTCACCCGATGGGTAGGGATGTTTTTTTTTTTGCCACACTTCCCAGTTTTGTGCGTGCGTATGTGTGTGTGTGCGCGTGTAACAAATCGGCGCGCAGCGCCGCCAAATTTGGTATAACCTATTAGGTAGGTATACCTACCTACATCACTTGCGTAAAAATTATCACTGGTCACTTGGTCAGGTCGCCATGTCAAGTTCAGTTATACGGTATACCTCTTTAAAACTTTCCCCTCTCGCCATTCTTGTAGCTTTTCTCCCATAACTTCGAAATTTGGTACACTGTATAGTGTATACCTAATGTATGGGGTTATACGTGTCAGCAATCCATGATTCTAACTGAAGATTTACATCTATGATCTGAAGGCAGGTCAAATACGTGACCTCATCATTAGAAAATAATGAGAAATTAGAAAAAGCACGAATGCCTCCTGCTTTGAAAAAGTTCGTCAGAAACGCAAAATATCTTTGGAGCCATGACAAATCAGCTCATCGTTGCCAGGGACAGGGTGCAACTTATGGCGAGTGATGACTCGAAAGGTCATTTGTGGAAATGTCCATCGAGGGCCACCAGCATTTTTTTTCTACAACTTTTGACGAAGACGCGGTAGAGCGATGACAGCACCTGGAAGGTGTTCACTGTTCAGCTCAACAACACGGATCCATTCATATGCAGCAGGAGGTCCTTTTTCGATCAGGACATAACGTTGACCTGAGGTCGTTTTAACGTTAATTCTGAATGCCGAATGGTCAAATTTTAACTCATGTGACGCGTCTCAAAGAGATCAACACGGTGGTGACAAGACAACATATGTACATACCATACAAATTCACGGAATCTAAAGTTATTGCAAAGCAGATGTTTCGGCAGAATCTGTCCAGTTAGCTGTTTGCCTTCTTATGGGCCAAACATAGACCTGAGATGAAATCTAACGCGAAGCTAGCGAAAGAGCGTTAAAAGAGCTATCGAATATGTTTTCTGCTTCACTGTAGCCCTTCTATTGGTGGTTTCCCAGTCGCTAACGTATAACGTATACTAAAGTAACGCTGAGGTATGCTTTCGACCCCTGATCGGTCTAGAGGTTTGCGGAAAAAAGAGCATGCTGCCCGTGACGAGAGAAAGCCGATGATACCCATTTACAAGGTTTCGGGTCATCTCGGGACTCAGGTCATCGCCAATAAGTAGAGAAACTCGGGACCTGCTAGAACTTAACGAATGTAAGTTGTGATGTTTTTTCGAGGTTCTGATTACGAATGTTATCTTAGTTTTGAACGAAGATGATGACTCCATGCATTTGGGGTAGATCAGGTCAGGTCAGATCGACCAGTACCTACCTAAAAGTGGATGACCACCACCGATTGCTTCCTAACATGTTATAAGCAACACAACTATTTCTTAAATGCTCAGATGGGCGCTAAGTTCAAAATCAGCTCCAAAAACTACCCTATAAATTAAAAGCATGTTATGAAAAAGTGAACTAAGGTCATCTTTATTTGAATCAGGGATATCGATTTATTTTTAAGTAGGTGATTAACTCGAGCGCACCGGAAGTTTTGTTGCAATCGGCTCCTTTTTGCGCGACTTCTTTGCGAAAGCCCGAGACGGTTCCATCTGACTCCCTTTCCCCTACATGTGCACTGTACAGCTAGGTATGATGGTAGCTTTGGGGCAGAGGCTAGTTTGTAGTTTTGTAGTTACGGGTACCTACTGATCCGACGAATCGACTGCGACCATTTTTTTTTAACGATCAGACGAACCCTCGGGGCAGTTTTGGCGCGTCCAATCCATTGAGGGATAAAAAGGTACTAGAATCGGGGCTACTTAAAAACATTGCTGTGCTGGTGTTCCCCGCCCACAGCTAATTGACCTTTAGCTAATTGGCTAATTAGCTTTAGGGAGCTCTTGAAGCGATTCTGAATCTGATGTATTTGTTGGTGTTGCTGACGCCTGCTTCACTGACATAAAAATAAAAAAGCATACTCAGCATCGCAAAAAGTGGGGGGTCGACACCCCCAGTTTTCAAGAGTGGGGGGGTCACGACCCCCCGACCCCCCCGTCGGCGACGCCCCTGCCGGCACGACCGGTCACCCGCAGCCGGGAGGGTCACTGGCAGCGGCGCTAATGCCCCGTAGATTCTCTGCGTGACTGGAAAGAGAATGGAGTTGATGGGAGCGGAAAACAACTTATACCTACAGGCTACACCCAAGAGCTAATCTAAATCGGAATGTATGGAATCAGAGCAGATCACCTGTGATTATCATTAAACGCTTATTGGTATCTGAGTAAATACATACCCATTTAAACTGGATTAGAGAAAACAATGGGAAACGACTTAATGTGCGGGATAAATATTAATATTAGCGGCGTGATTAGTGATCACTGATCAGGCCTGTCCTTTCATCCCCGTCTCGTTCTACCAGAGTATCGCAATCTCCCACCTATACATTCGCCCAGCCGATTGACTGCAGTGGTCCCCTGAATCAGATAGCCCAGGCCTCTCCACCACGGGCTGAATATCAGAAATGGCTAATCGATGTTATACGATGCACCCGTGTGATTGGGCAACACATGGTGCATATTGCAATAATTCGCAACACTGCATGACCGGCCTCTGCATGATGCAGAGCGTCGTCGTTGTAAAATGCGCCATTAGTGGACACATCACAAGGGTTCGCTGTGGGACCGATTCCCTTCTTCCATATCGTGATAAAGAGAGTACACGTTCAAGCTTTGTTACATAGAAATAGCCGTCACTTTCCCCACGTGTCGGCACCGTCCACCGACCCGGCGGGTCGGCGGACCGGTCCTTCATTGTGCAACCACCATGCATATAACGCACAGGCACTGGCGAATCAGAATCAGAACCACAGTTGGAATACAAGTCTCGGCCCGCTCAGTCTCTCTCTACTTCCGCGCCTCCGCGACAATGGTGGCAGCGGCGGTCGAGGGGACTTGTGCCCCTCACAACGGACTCCAGCCTCTACATCTGCACTGACATCGCAGACTGGTTAGTCCGTGCTCCGTGACAGTGTATCGCCCCTACGTCACGTCATCGACTAGGGAGCTGACCATCCTGGACTCGTCATCGTCCAGCAGCACCGTCTCCAGTGAGTAGCTCTGCCCAGCAAGACTATCTGCCCTGCGGCAAGGTCATCAGCTACCCTGGACTACTACGGAGCCCGCCGACAGCGCACGGCTCATCAGTCCGCGCCGTCCTCCTCACCGTCATCGAGTGATGGACACCACCTCGCTGAAGGACTCAAGCTCGAAGGAGAGAAGATAAAACAAAAACTTCAACGCTAAATTCAAGACAAATTGGCACCGAAATCAAGAAAATTCACCCATCATGAACTTTTGCTGTATTTTCGTCAAAAAGTGACAGTGAAATTGTGCTGTGAAATTTGTTTTAACTTCATTGTGTTTCAAAACCATACTGTTTCATTATCCGTTTTCGTCAGTGTTTTGTCGTTTGTTGCGCTTCATTGTGGTTGCTCACCCCAAAATTTACGGAGAAATTGCAAGTGCATTTAAATTTTGCCTGCACTTTGCCGTGTCATTTTGACACTAGTAAACGTAGAAAGAGCATACTCTGAACGGTATGAACATTCAAATACGTTAATCGTTGTCAATTCACTGAAATTATATTGTATTGATATTCGGCCAGAGATGCCGAGGGCCATGGAGATGCCCAGGGACGGTCCCCGCCAAGAGTGCGGAGGGATCGCCCGGTAGTAGGTGTAATTGTCACGAAACTTACTTATCTGTTCATACCATTTTGTGATACGCTCATATGGAAATTTCTTTCTCCGTCAGCTAAACGTTTCCTCTCTTTGTTATGATCGCTTCGGTTCCCTACGCTTCCCTGGGGGAGGGAAGATAATGTGGGACCGATTCCCTTCTTCCATATCGTGATAAAGAGAGTACACGTTCAAGCTTTGTTACATAGAAATAGCCGTCACTTTCCCCACGTGTCGGCACCGTCCACCGACCCGGCGGGTCGGCGGACCGGTCCTTCATTGTGCAACCACCATGCATATAACGCACAGGCACTGGCGAATCAGAATCAGAACCACAGTTGGAATACAAGTCTCGGCCCGCTCAGTCTCTCTCTACTTCCGCGCCTCCGCGACATCGCATACCTTTTGTAATGTGATGCGTTTGGTAGGTGCATGCAACGATAAATAACTATGTATGAAGTATGAGAGATAATTATCAAAAAGTATGATACAAAACCAAACATTTTAGCTACACTGATGTGATAAAGATTTTGGCGACAACTATCAACAACCATTAATAATCGAGAATTGAGCAAAACAAATTTGGTTTATTTCATGTTTAGTTAGGTATATAACTTAAAATGAAACGTGGTAATTACCAACCTAACAATGTATTCCAGGTTACGCCCGCAAAAAAAGAAGAGGAAAAATCTTTCAGACAGACGGGAGCAAGGCCCTTAACACGCGACGGGAGTTTTGTTAAGAACAGATAAGTAAATTCGCCACTGGACCGTTCATTGAAAACGGATAATAGGATGCACCTTTAAGCCTATTCCTGGCGGGGGGGGGGGGGGCCTCAGGAGCCCCCCCCCCCCCCCTGAGGCTTTTTGGTTATATCTCCCAAACGCGTTGAGCTAGGAAGCTCAAATTTTCTGACTTTTCCTAAAAGGCTTCTACGCAACATGTCTGAAAATTTTGAGTTGATCTGACCTCAGGTCAGGTCACCAGAGGCGGTTTGGTGACGCTACCTCAGAAAAGTTTGCAATCACGCCAGAGCTAGAGTTTTTGACCGATCAATTTCTTCTCTTCAGGGTTTAGTTAGGGTACCAGTATGTGCAATTTGTATATCTCGGAATTTTGATATCGGTGACCTAAGGTCAGGTCAATTTCGCGACCTCCCCATTATAAGTCAATGGGGGAAAAATCAACTCCCTGTTTTTACCACTAAAACGGGTCGGAATGGCCCCATATACCATACATGACTTCATATACGATCAATCTTCACTACCTTGAGGTCTGTTTTGCTGTTGGGCAGCTGTGAGGTCATGTGACGTCATCAAAGGTCACCAAAGGTTTTTGGCCAATAACTCCGTACAGGAACAAGATACAGACGCGTGGATGGTCTCATTGTGTTCAGCTCGTCAAGACGCATCGAATGATATACATGATGACCTCGAGGTCACGTGACCTGAGGTCAACCTTTGACCTTGACCTTTCGAGGTCAACATATATATCATTCGATGCGGATTGACGAGAGGATCACGATGATGCCCTTAGTTTGTTCCTATCTTGACTAATTCGAAAGTTATTCGAGAAAAACTCTCTCCATATCTAGTGCCGCCATTTTGACTTTTTCGACCCCTGTGACGTCATCTTTGACCTGACCTGAAAATGACCTTAGTAAAAATTGTAGATCTTGGCCGTGCGTATCCGATGCCGTTTACCGCTTGTCGCTATCTTGCTTCGTTCTCGAGATCTCAGGGGGGGGCCGAATCGGCCCCCCCCGCCAGTTTCTTGTCCCGGCGGAGCCCGCCAGGAATAGGGTTAAGGGATCTTTTCGATGTTTCAATACCTACTTTCCAACAAACTGCTTGAACCGTCTACCTTCCTCAAAGGGACGCTTAACGCCAGTTAACGGGTGTTTCGGTTCGTTCCTCACTTGGGGCTCTTGAATTGTTTCGTTCATGACAATAAGTCCTTTTTAGTTTCGAAGATTGGTATGATGAGAAAAAGCTTTTTCTTGGTGCCGCGTCTCTTCAAAATTACAACGAAACCAACGGACCCGTGTGTATGTACAAATAATTACAACAAGCAGCGCTTGGCCTTCGTTAACCCTCGCCGGCCGAGGGGGGGGGGCGGGTGCCGCCCCCCCATAGGTTTTTTTCGCGATAGCTCCGAACACGCTGGCGATAGAGAGCTGAAACTTGGCATAACTGACCTTTGATCCAAGCCGCATCTTTTGACACCAACCGCATTTTTGGGTCGGGTCAGGTCACTGACCTATGACGTCATAAGTGAACCTCTGCACGGTCTTCAGATGTCGCAACTTCGCAACGCCCTCACTGCCAGAGGAGATGTCACAGGGAAATGAAACTTGCAGAATCTAGTATCCATTATGAGTCTCACAACTTGTATATCTCGGATTTTTCCTAAAGGTCATATGAGGTCAGGTCATTTTCGTGACCTCACCATTATAAGTCATTGGGGAAAAATGAAAACTGCTATTCTGACGCCGGGAACGATCTCCAACTATCTCAAGCACACAGAATCGTGATTTGATGCACTCCTTGCAAGGTTAGATGCGTCACTTTTGCAATGTTGACCTTGCGTGACGTCATTTATGACGTCATCAAGGTCATATTAGTTTTTCGTCAAATTGTTATAGTTTTTCGTCTCCCGATCAAATTGAGCTAGCGATTCGAGAAAGCCACCAATGGACTCAGGAAGAACTGCCGAATCGAATGATATGCGACATGACCTCTTTCGACCAACTTCGTGACCTGGGGGTGCTGACCTGATCTTGACCTGAGGTCAACACCCTAAGTTAACCTGACCCGAACAAAAAGTATATCATTCGACGCGCCTGAGCAAGGCGAACACGATGCTGCCAAAATCGCGGCTCTGCGGCCGTTTTTTGCGAAGGTATTCACCAAAAACTGAACCGTACCCTGGGGCACTTGACCTGACCTCAGAGGTCACCAATTCGACCTAGGACATTAAAATCGGGTACCAATCTCTGCGTCTCGTAACGGCGCACACGCTCGTTTTTTCGCGACGCGCTAGCTCCACCAGGGGCGAAACGGCGAGGGGGGGGTCGTACCCGCCCCCCCCCCCTCGGCCGGCGCGTATGTAGAAAACCAATAGGTCCGGCGAGGGTTAAGACGTTTGGTCTGTAATAGTTATAGTCAAATCGTTAATTTTCAACCGTTGAGTAGTTTACCATTAAATCGTTTGTGAAACGTTAACTGCACTAAAAAAGTCTAACAGCAAACGATTAACTATGTTCCGATTAACTATCAACTATCTTCTAAATGACTATTTTCAACTTACGGTTAAAAGGTCACTTCCACAAACCGAGTTCTAAGCTGCCAAAGTTCATCAGCATACAGACACACGAAGAAACAGCAAAGTGGGTCGGCGCGACTTAAAACGGGCATCGCCTAACAGGGTCATGAAATGAATGACTGGCCAATGACTGTGCGCAGCTGTAATTATGCACAATGGTGAGGCCACGGCGGCAGCTCGACTGTTCCTAAGTTTGATACGGGATATTATTAGACGTGAACGAATGGACCGGACGGTGCTAAACCTGACACCCGCACGGATCGACTTTCCACCGAACTACCAGAGTCTATTCAGAGTGACAGTATTATGGTGAACACACCCGCGGTGGTAGGACTGACCTGTGTCGGTGGGCCGGGTCGTCGGGTCTGCGCGGCCGCCGCGCGCCGTCGGCCGTGACCGTTTGTCTGGCGCCGTCTCAGTGTGCGCCGCCCGCCGGGCGAGGCTCCGCGCCCGAGGCCAGGGCGCCCACACTGCTCCACCGGTCGCCAGCCGTCTCGGAGAGCAGCTCGCAGTCGGTCCACTCTGGCCTACCTATCAGCTCAGCGCCGCCCAGCACAGAACCGCGTCCTGGCGGCTGGCGAACCGTTACCGTCTTAACCTTCCAGGCGGTGGGGGTGGGGGGGGGGCATTTTTTTGCCCCCCCTTTAGTTTTTTCGATATATCTCGAGAACCGCTGCGCCGATCGTCACCAAACTTTCAGTACCCTCCCGGGAGCAGCTAGCGCACATGGTGACCAAAACTTTTTCCAAAGGCTATGATAGGTTGGCCGCTAATGACGTCAGAGTGACGTCATTTTTGCCATTTTCGACCCAAAAAAGGTTTCGCGGGAAGAGCTGTCAGGGCTACAGCTTTAGAGATACAGAAAAATGTTTTTGACATAAAAGGTGTGGAATCAAAAGGGCTACAAAACTGCTATTTCGGTTTTTCGAATTTTTTGGATTTTGAACCCTAAAATTCAAAAAATATATTTTTTTGAATATAATAGCCAAAAAATCCAAAAAGTGTTTTGAATTTCGAAAAACCTGAATATATGTGATAGTCCCTACCACCTTCTATCTACATACCAAATTTGATTTTTAGCAATTTTAGATCTCGTAGCGCAAAACAAAGACCACCATTAGACTCCCCGTGACGAGCTGCATCGAATCGATATCTATTTTATGCAAATATATCAACTTTGAAATTTGACCTTTTTTGACCTGACCTTGACCTGACCTCCACCAGAAAGTGACCTAAACCGTACCTACCTGATGGTCTTATAACCAGCACCATTGAGTTGGAAATGAAAAACTGGCCATAAAACATGCATCACATAACCTTAGTAAAGTTGGGCTCATGTGGTGACCCTTGGTGACCTTTGGTGACCTGACCTGTGACCTGACTTGGTATGACCAGTGACCTCTAATAGCAACATATGTACTTAGACAACTGACGCCTTATCGCTGATTTTCGACAAAATGCGTTTTACTCGGTGTTATAGCGCTTTCCCTAGAAGCCCCGAGGAGGCAAGGACCGCTGTTCAGCCTCCCACCAGTCGGGGTCAACTCAAAATCGGACACCTTAACGTGCGCTCTCTCATTCCGAAGCTGAGCGACGTCATGATCCTTCTACAAAATGAGCAGCTAGACATTCTATGCCTGTCAGAGACCTGGCTGACGTCGGATGTGATGCCCGAATTTTTAACGTTTCCCGGTTACAACGTACTGCGACGGGACCGAGCGCTGCGGCGTGGTGGCGGCGTCGCTATCATCCATCGAAAGGGGATAGCGGCGAAGATCCTGTCGATGCCGGCGAGCGGTCCTCTCGAGTCTCTGTGGGCCATGGTGACCTGGCCCGGCGGTGTACCAGCCACAGTGGGCGTGATATACCGCCCGCCAAACAGTGCTGTGACGGTCAGTTTGGAACACCTCGAGAATCAGCTCCGCAAGGCTACCGCTGCTGGCAGACCTCTGTTCGCCCTGGGCGACCTCAACTTCAACGTACTCGATGCTACTGCGGCAACTACCCGCCGCTACCTAGATCTCTTAAGTGAGCTCAACTTGACACAACTCATTGACGGCCCCACCCACCTGGACCCGTCTCCGTCTGCACTGGACCACATTATCACCAACTTCAAGGATCCGGCGCCAGTGACGTCTATTTTGCCCGATTCCATTAGTGATCATCAACCAATTGTGACTGTCGTCCACCTCCCTCGCATGAAAACACCGGCACAATGGCGTATCTATCGCAATTGGCGCAAGGTCGATTGGAATGCTGTGTGTCTAGATTTCTTGCTTGCAGATTGGTCCCATGTAGATGGCGCTACTGATGTAAATTCGTGTGTTACGCAGTTCATGATCGTGTGGAATGACGTGTTGAATCGCCACTGCCCACCGAGACGTGTGCGTGTCTCGCGGCCGAGCTGTCCCTGGCTGGAGGATCCGGAGCTTCGCGAGCTGATGGAGGAGCGGGATAGTGCTCGTGACATGTGGCTGTCGTTGCGTACCACGGACGCGAAAAATGACTTTGTAAATCTGCGAAATAGAGTGAAGAGTCGACTTATCGCAGCTAGGCGCCATTTTTTGTGTGGGGGGCTAACATCGGGTGACCGCGTGGCTTTCTGGTCGACCTTTAAAAAATTCTCTATGACATCCCCCGGGCAGGGGAACATGGCGCCGGGGCCGGGTCGCAGTGGCCCTGAAGAGAGGGCGGACGAATTGAACCGGTATTTCGCGGATGTCGGAACCCGTATTGCTGCCGACCTGCAAGAGGCGGTTAGCGCGGGCCGACATGACCTCAGACCGCCGACAGTATGCTCAGCAGGCTTCCAACTAACACCTGTAACTCTACCGGAACTGTCTCGGTGTGTCGGGATGATGAGTGCGTCGCGAGCGGTGGGAATCGATGAGATTCCTCTGGCGGCGGTCCGTCAAAGTTTTCCGGTAGTCGGGCCGCACTTGCTTCGCCTTATCAATCTGTCACTGCACTGAAAAAAATTTTTACTCACTTTTCTGAGTAATGACTGAGTTGCCATTTTGTCCAATGGTAAAACTCACTCTAAATCCGCGTACTCAGGTAAAACTCAGGGCGGAACGCAGGTAAAACTCGGGCAAAACTCATTGCAAGTGAGTAGCATGTGAGTAACAAAGTGAGTTGCCATTTTGTCCGATGGTAAAACTCAGATAAAACTCAGTAAGTACTCATGCGTAACTCATGTCCTACTCAGACAACTCAGGCCAAACTCAGGTATTAGTAAGTCATTACTCATGAAAAACTAGGAAGTAACTCACATGTAACTCAGCTGGTACTAATGTATAACTCAGGTGGTAGTACGGCCATAACTCAGTTGGAACTCATCGGTTATTCAGTGAAAACTAGGGCTGTACTCAGGACGTACTCACGTCGATAACTCATACGATACTCGGGTGTTACTCAGGCGCCGCCTGAAACGGCTGATCGGATTCGTTTTATATTGGCTCAAGCCAATGTATAGGCTCGCCGCCCATGATAACAGCTGCCGCATCAGCATTATGCAATATGCATGCATGATGCTCATACAACAGCCACTACCAGGCAGCTAGTCTATATATTGGGATTGGCCAATATATAACGAATCATTGCCCAAAACCAGCATACATATCTGTATTATACCATGCCCGACCAACGTCTAGTCTTGCACTATTCGCCCCAGCCCTTACAAGAAATACATGTTTGTAGAAACGGTCGCATTGCGCTGTATTTCAATTCTGACACACGCCAAACTGCGTCGGGGGGGGGGGGGGGGATCAACTCCACGTCAGCTCAGCTTCACTCTTTTGCCAGCTTCTCGACCTCAGTCTTCGCGCCTACAGGTGGCTGGCGCTCAGCATTGAATGGTGTGTGGAGCACATGGATACACACAAACCACAGCGTGTTTCGCACTTTGTGCGCCGTTTGTTGACTGAGCACAAAGTGCGCCGTCGCCCACAGCAAAAGACTCCCTTCCAAACCATGGATCCCCACAAGACTTCCGTTCGCTCCACGATGAGGCGGCACCGTTCGTTTTCTTCAGACTTGTTATGATAGGGGTGATCCAAATTTTCGTCACCCGTGTACGCCACCACTGACGCCTTCTCCGCCAAGATGCAGAGGAGGCTCAATGGGCCGTTCCCTGAAAACACAATAAAAAATCAGATTTTCTTTTGCCAGTAAGAGAAACGGAAGTTATAGGGCATGCAAGGTGATTGAAATATCAAAAGTTATCAAGTTACCTCAGCTCAAAATTAATGTTAAACCGCGCCGTGCTGGTGCTCTGAGTTTACCGTGATGTACTGAGGGGAGGGGGTCGTCTTCACGTCCCCTCTTCTAACTCGGCTGTTGGGGTTGGGCCACGTAGCGACACGCCGTAAGCGGCTTTCGAAAAAGCATTAAAGATATTTAAGGAAATACTTGGGTAATTTTAAGGTCAAGTCAAGTGCCAGGTCACCAGAGGTCAGGAAAGGCCAAATTTTGCTTATTTCAATATTTTCGAAAAACTGGTGCTTAACTCGGAACCAAAAGAGCTGCCCGCGGAAAAATGCAGTCAAAAGCCCTTTCGACTTTTTTCTTGCTGGCGTTTGATCTCAGATTTGACCTCAGGTCAACAATTAAGCCTCCAGAGAGCAAAAACTCTAAAAAGCCGTTTTTACCAAAATGTTTTCTGTAATACTTTCCACTCAAGAGTCACGACATTTATTTTGCCGTTAGCATAGTGTTCTTCTCGTCGGGACGAATGAACTATAATTAGACCTTGAAAGGCCATATTTAAAACTTGACCTTAGGTTGACCTGACCAGGTCATGTTGCATATCAGTCGATCCAAACCGTCAAGCTGAACACATATGAGGTGTTTTATTGCACTAGCAAACATATTTTATACATGCCGTAAGGTTGATACTTGAGACATGGTGATGGGACAGTATCAAAAACGCTATACAATGAAATCCGTTCGATATTTTTTTGACATTTTACCTCAAACTGGTGTGAAATCGAGCGGTGAATTCCCTGAGCGAAAATGACAAAAATATCGAACGGTTTCCATGGCACGTTGCGAACGGTGCGATCGTCAGCGACCATTGAAATTTTTCCGATGTTAAGTCATTTGACGTGACCTGACCTTGAACGACCTGGGTCTAAAATTTCTTCATATGCAGAAACAAATGTATGAGCAGGTGTGCCGAAAATGGTGGCGCTGCGCGCCGCCGTTCTTAGATATTCGCGAAAAACCTGAGGGGGCGGGGTGGGGGGGGGGGCGTAAAACGCCACCCAGCACAGCGCGGGTGAAGGTCGGATGGTCACCTTAACATTCGGGTTTTAGTCTCGCAAAACACTTCCATGGGCGTCCAATATTAAAATCAGCTTGAAACAATCACATAAAATGTGTTATACTTAACAGTAATGGAAATAAGTATGTCACGTCCAAACGCGTCTCGCCGCGGTATCTAATAATCTAATATGTAAGGAAGGTTGAAAATGCTCGCTGAAATCGAATAGTGTGCGAAAATATGTGTGTAGGCATTAAAAAAAAACAGTCGGAAAAAATAATAACAGTGGAAAAATAATAAGCACAAACGAG